GAGCCCCTCGTGCCGCTCGACGAGAACCGCACGCACCAGCGCCTCGGCACCATCAAGTCGGCGTTGCTCATCTGGTCCACGCTCTTGGGCCTCAGCCCGATCCTCAGGTCCCTCACCGAGTCGACCAGCAGCGACAGCATCTGGGCCATCTCCTTCTGGCTGCTCGCCATCAACATCTTCTTCTTTGACTACTCGGGCGGCGTGGGCGCCAAGTTCCCCGCGTCGCTGTCGACCAATGCCGCGCTCATGGCGTCCACCGTGCTTGCCAGCCGCCTGCCCTCCACCGGACAGGTCTTCAGCCTGACGCTGTTCAGCATCGAGGTGTTTGGGCTGTTCCCCGTATTTAGACGGCACATCCGCCACCGCAGCTGGAGATACCACGTTCTTCAGACGGTGGTTCTCGTCCTGGGCGCCGGTCTGGGCGTGGGCATGGTTGTGGGCGCCGGTCAGGGCCGGAGATGGCCGTGGAAGAGCGGCATCGTCGGCATGATCCTGTCCGTCGTGATTGCCGCGCTGGCCACGGGTGGGTGTAGTTGGTGGCTAATTGGGCTGCAAAAGTACAAGAATGAGATTCGGGGCCCCTGGGATCCTGCCCGGCCCATTATTATGAGTAGGACGAGGTGGAACGATAGATGAAGCACATGATGGGCGAAAGAAAAGATGCGGTAAAGATATGTATATAATACTAATACTGCTGTGCACTAATATACTTTACCTGTTCGGAGAGAACGGGAATAGCGTACTGTCTGGTGTCATTTATAGCGCAGGGCCGGCTGGGCACACGTTTTCACGAAATACATTGTATGTGCTGACTCCTGGGTATTCAATGACATGCCGTTGGACACACTGCGTCTCGAAAACATATGCTTTGCCCAACATGTGCACGTATATGTATGTACAAGGAGCTGCGTGCAAAAAGTCGACTTACAGCAGGGCAGACACCGTCTTCCGCTGGCATCCCAAGACAATGAATGCGTTGCGTGCCCCTTTGGATTTGACGATTGCAAGCACGGCGGTGGGCGTTCAATTGCCGTTGGCGACTGTTTCAACGGTACCGAGCATTCGCACGTTGCAGCCAAGGTACTTACTTAAGTAAGTAGTGGGCAGGATCGACACGGTCGAACGGCAGTCAGAAGACCATGCGATGTTCCGCCCTGGACGTATTGCGGTGCCGAGCCAGTTGTGTGATTCGCCCTTTTGACGCGAAACCATCTGCTGCGCAATTCCACGCCAAACAAAGGGACAAGAAAACAACCGATAGTTGGCAGGCCGCAGTCAATAGTAACCGGATCAGAAACACGTCTTTCATACTCCGTACTGGCATAATATGGGGGACACGGCAGCTCAGGTTGGGCTAACCGGCATGCGGCCAGCGCTTTCGTCCAACAACGAACGGGAGCTGATGATCAGCTGAACCGTCGAGCACTCGAGCGGCAACACAGGCATACCATGTTAAATAGACCATCACGCATTAAAAAATAGATTAAATAAAGAAAAATAAATTACTACTACTAGTAACAAGTCATGAGCTTTTCTCGCGCCCGTTTGTGGAGGCGCTGCATGGCTTTCAGTCGCCTGAAAGACCACAAAAGCCCCTTTGTTTCATTCAGCAACATTGAACACAAAGGGCGGAGTCGGGGAAGCTTCTTAGACCATGTCTAATGCTGCAGCCAGAGCGGGAGTCAAAGGCTTGTTTTTTCGCTAGCTGCACGGCAACTGGGATGACTTGACGGGACTTGGCTGTTGGGCCGGCGCCACAACATTAGAGTGACCAGGGGGCATTGACATGGGCACATGCATGCGTGTGGACATGACAGTGACCTGTCTTAATGCTCGTTATGTTGCAGGTTGGTGGACAAGTGGGCCGGTGCAACAACAGAGGCCTCGCCTTGACCCTGCACAACCTTTGGCTGACCTGAAAAAAAAAATGATGAAAAAATTACTCCGTACGCAGTGCTCCGTACGGAGTAGTACTCCGATGTGAATAGTAGCAGCTGTCCGGAGCAACAAAGTCGTCACAAAGTCGTCTTCTTCTGTGGTGGGTGAGATTAACCCGAGATCCACCGCACGCGCGTGGGCTGGTTGTACAGCGTATCGTGTGCTATTTCCGTTTCTTCGATGACCTTGGATATTCCCTTGATCCTTGGGCTGGCTGACGATACGCATGAGCAGCATCATGTCAGCGTCAGATGAAGCAGCCCGATGCTTGAACCGGATCCTTCTCCTTTAGGCTGGGCGATGGCCTTTGCATTCTCACAGTCGGCCACCATCCATGCTGCACTCAGGTGTTCATGAACCCAGCCAAACTTGCAGGGCCTGATTGGATTGTACATGGAGTACTACTCCGTACGGCGGAACGTCGGTGCCGATGATCGGTGGGCAGCGCAACGATGCTAGTTGTTACTACCTGCATCATGGTGGGCTGGCGCTTCTCGTGTTCAGAGCTGTTTCCGTTACGTTGGGCCACGGACAATATCTACTACTTCCCATGCTCCTCCGCAGTACTCTCACACAGAAACGTCTTGGGCCGCAGGACCATGTGTTTCTGTGTACACGGTATGTACGGCCTATTTCCGGTTGTAATTGGTGCACGTTTTGTGTGGGATTAATTGATGTAGCTAGTACGGAGTACTCCGTAGTATCGAAGTGTTGGAGAAGGCCAGGAAACGAGGCCATCTTTTTGCCCCTGGTCAACCAGGCCATCTCGCAAGCACCCTCTTGCTTCGAAGCCCGGCGCCCGCCAAAGGATACAACGTGACTGTGAGCACAGAGCACATGTAGTATTACTACGTACTCCGTATAGACCAATGTGACGGGCCACGGCGGTAATGAATGCAGCGTAGCCCAGGTATGCAACTGTCCAAAGTCCAATCTGCCAGGAGAGACTGTCTGACAAGGGGGAGATCAGTGCATGGTGCAGGCCTGCGACCAACAACACCGTGGTTTCTATTACTGTCTTGGGTGTTCCTAGCACTGGTTATTTTATTGCGATACACTTTTGCCAGCATCCTTGAATTTCGTTCCCAGCCTCCTACTCCGTATATTGGCCGTATACGGCGCAATCCCGCCAGAGTTTCGCATGAGTCCTCACAAGGTCGATTCATGCCGCGGACTCCGTACACGGCCTGAAGAAACCAAAGAAACTAGGAGATTGCGTGGCGTGGCGAGGCGTGGCGAGAGGCTTCTCTTCCCCTTGGCTGGGTGTTTAAGCTGTGGCTGTACGTGCAGAAAATACTGGAGACTGCTTCTAAAGTTGGCTCAAGGGAAGCGGCCGTGTCGGATCGTCGTCGGCTCGCCCTACTTTTTGGCACAAGCTTTCCTCCCGTACCAGCCAGGAAACTTTTTTCTGGGCGCCCGTCGGCCAGGAATAGCCGCGTACCCCTTGGGCTAATGAGGCAAGGCTCAGGGGGGGCCAGACGCCACGGCTGGGACCACGGATTGGGACAGTATTGCTTTGGCGATGATGCTTCGGGGCCATCAGCCAATTTCGACTGGTGAGTGGCCGAGCCCGGGGCCCCCATGTATCTCTGGAGCTCTCTGCGCCTCCATCTGGATGCAAGCTGGCAAGTTGGCAGCGTGATGGAACATGCTCAAGTGGAGCAGCTACCTCGTAGCCTGGAGGGAGGGAGGAAAGATGGAGAGGGAGGATGGAGAAGGAGGATGGGGAGGCTGTGTGGACTCTCGATCCTGGAGCAGTGATTGTCTGGCCGACGGCGAAATCAAAGCAAAGCAACCTTGCCGGACCCCGGGCACGGGTATGCCTCAAAGTAGCCAGATACTCTGGATTTCCTGCCGATCTCGTATCTTTTCCCACTCGCTTCCCGGCACGGGTACAGCTTGGGCATGTGCAGGCGCCTGGTCAGATACCTGCGCCCCGTCCTAAATTACATCTTTTCTCCAGTGTTCTCATCCTAGTGCTCGACGCTCGACGCTGACTGCGAACAGCTCTTGCCACCTCTGCTTAAAAGGCCCCTTGGCCAACCCACCCTTCGTCACGCAGCTCTGCTCCCTCTTCTTCTCCATCCTCTCGTGCCTTCATCGTCTCCAAGAAACGCCTCAGCTGTCAATTCTTGTACATACCCGACTTGTCGTCTACGTACTCTACTGCAAATCACCCTCGTTCAAAATGAAGGCTACTTTCGTTACCCTCGCTCTTGCTGGCTTCGCCGCCGCCCAGAACCTCGAAGGCGTCGACCCTTGCGTTGTATGTTGAACCTCGAATAACTGTCCCAACTGGCGGGAAATGGATCAATGGACTGACAATACTTCCACAGAGAGGCTGCATCGAGAAATCTTTCCCCTCGGTTGGCTGCACTGGTTCTGAAGCTGAGATCGCTGCGTGCGCCTGCAAGCCCGAGACACAGGCCAAGCTCATCGCCCCCGTTTCCTCGTGTGCTACCCAGAACAAGTGCGATATCAGTGATCTCGCCAAGGCTCAGTCCATAGCCAAGGCGCAGTGCGACGCTGTGGCTTCTGGCTCTGCCTCTGCTTCGGGATCTGCCTCTGCCACTGCCACCGGCTCAGCTACCGAGTCCCAGTCTGCTTCTGCTTCTGGCTCTTCTGCTCCTGTCGTCCCTACCGTGTCCACTGGTACCGGTGGTGTCCCTACTCAAAGCAAGAACCAGACCGCTTCCGCCACCAGCGGAGCTACTGGCACCACCAAGGCTCCTACCTCCTCCCAGGGTTCCGGCAGCGCCACCAGGTCCGGCACTGGCTCTGTCCCTACCACTACTGGTGCTGCCGCTGCTGGTCCCGTTGTCGGCGCTCTCGCTGCCGTCCTTGCTGCTGCTTTGGCTCTGTAAGCATTTGCGTTTTAGAGATGTTAGAGTCTATGTCTTGTCAATGAGACTAGTCTAGCGGCTGTTATTTCGAATGATACATGAATAATACGGGACACATTAGCAGAAGGAATTCGAAAAGTGGTACATGGGGTCTTTTATATTCAGAATGTAGTCCAATACTTGTGGACAACTAATTAATATCACGTCTAATCTATGAACCCAAGTGAAAAAATGTCGGACTGGGATGTAATTTGAAATATTCCTTGCGCTGAAGGCCTTATGTACGGTGAATGGAAGTGCGTCTTTTCTCGGCGTTTGGGAGATCTATGTCGATTATCCAAGGTAATTGTGATGGTCGATATCGGATGTCCATGATTGATGCGTTGAGGAACAAGGTTTGCTTCCCTGGATCAACACGTGTCTGTTGTTCCGTCAAATCAATATGGTATCCGCGTTGATTGCTTAGGTGTGCCAACTTCTGTCTTGCCTCTGGACATGTCCCCTCTGTGTCGGCGGCAAACATTGGTCGCAGCCCATGTAATGTCTGAATCGGACCCGACGTGGCCTCGTCCATGACATATTCCATGGTCGGCCGGGGCACAGAGAACCCGGGCTCGTCTCTGTCGAGCCAGGTACCCCGATAAGCCCCCCATCCCTCGTGGATATGGCCAAAGCAATGAATCCGCGGCCTTGCATCCGCAACCGCCTTGAAGAGATGCTCACATCCCGCGTGGTGCGGCTGGCCCAATCTCTTGGATATGCCCGCCTCGTCCAGCACGCCGTACGGCGGACCATGGGTCATGGCCACGTCTATGCCGGGCGGAAGCGCAAAGTCATGGTGGCCGGGGTACTGGAATGCCCACCCGCCGTAGATGGGCGTATACTGACTTGCGTATACTCTGATCAGGGCGCCGTTTTCCAAGGCGAATTCGTACGTGCCCTCTGTTAAATACAGGACGCCGTCCCTTTGAGCGTCCTGCACAATGTCCTGAACTGCGCGTGATTCTTGCTCGGCCTCTGGGTCCGAGTCGTACGTGGGGTCTAGTGAGATATCGTGGTTTCCGGCAATGACCAGCTTCAGAGGTGCGTTTAGAGACCGGAGCATGGAGAACGTGGTCTCGTACTCGGGAATGGAGCTGCGCTTTGTGAGGTCGCCGCAGTGCAGGACGAGGTCGGCGGGCGGGAGGGGGTCTCTGTAGCCGGTGGTGACGCGGACGAGGTCGGCCGTTTCGAATTCGTTGGGGGCTGGCGGTGGATGAGGCCTTGATGCGTGGGTATCTGATATGATGAGGATGCGGGTTTTGATTCTCGACATTGTGAGGTTGAGTTGGTGGTGCTTCTTTCGGTTGGTGGTTTGGTTTTATATCATGAAGGTGTGAGCTGTGGTGGCTTGTTGTTGGCTGCCTGGCGTGAAGTATCAGTGTCCTGTTTATATGCGAAAAGAGTATGAGGGGGGTGGAATATGGGAGACGTATAAGATACTCAGGGTGTATGGCACGAATATTTCATTATATGTGATGTCTTGAAGAACACGCGGAGGATAGAAATGTACCTTTGGAGGTTCTTTAAGTCAGATGTAGTTGAACATGTGGGGCCAAGCTGGTGCTGTCCTCTCTCTCCAATCCAATTCGCATATCCCAACACTCATCCTTCCATCGCCTTGACGTCAACCACAGCCACAACCGTCTCGCAGCTCCCCCGTCTCGCAACGATGGCAGCCGACGCTTCACAAGACGTTCCTATGGACATGTCTCCTCCTGCGCCGCCCACCGACGAGCCCATGTACGGCGGCTACTCGCGCTTCGAGATTGAACTAGAGGTACAAGCAGCCCTCTCCTCTCTTCTTCTGCAAAGTCCCTACTTAGAATCTTGAAGCCTAACGCGCCCACAGTTCGTCCAATCCCTCGCAAATCCCTTCTATCTCAACCACCTCGCCTCCCAGAAACTCCTCACGCAGCCGGCCTTTGTCGCCTACCTCGCCTACCTGCAGTACTGGACGAAGCCGCCATATCTCAAATACCTGACGTACCCGGGCCCGACGCTCAAGCACCTTGAACTCCTACAGGAAGAGCGGTTTCGACAAGATATTATGAGCCCCGACCTGGTGCAGAAGTTGGTAGAGGACGAGATGAAGGCTTCTGTGCAGTGGCACCGGGAGTGATTTAAGTCAACCGCGTCACGGTCTACCAAGTCATCCACGAGGTTGGGGACAAGAATTTCAGGACAAGAGTATCAGAATGGATAATCTCCTACCCAGCTACACAAGGAAAAAAGCATGCACCAAGATTCGCTCCCAGGCTCTAGAAGTCACAAAACGCCAAATACAAAACCCCCAATTCCCCAAACCACAGGTCCTACATACACACGGCGCAGACATCCAAATACCCATTAATTCTCTCTCCATCGGTTCCCACAAGTCATGCACTTGAAAAAGCTGGTCATGGGTTCATCCGCACTTCGAATCTGCACCTGGAAAAATGCGGCCTCGTCGCCGTCGCAGCCTTCGGCAGGACACTGCGCGCGGCCCTTTTGCGCATTATCCCACGCGCCCGGCCCGCCAAAGACGTCCTCCTTTTCCTTGCGCTCAAATACGCGGCGCGAGAAGACGGGCTCGGTGATGGTGTGCTCAAACGGACAGGTGCGGCACTCGAGGCGGTTGGTGCGCTGGTTTGTGAGGGACACGGTGAGGATGTTGGCGCATTGCGGGCAGACTATATAACGATTAGCATCCTTGGATAATAATCATGGCCCGTCAAAAAAACAGGGTACCTGAAGGGAAACATACAGAGCAGCATGGTGGGCTAGGACTCCGTTGGCCGTGTATACAATCAGAGCAGTAGCCGCCTGAAGAGACGCCAGCGATTAAATCTACCGGATGCCAAGGCTTTGCGTGCGCATAAGTTGTCGCAGGTGAAGGAAGAAAAAAAAGTCAATGTTGGTAGATTCCAGCGCAATCCAAATCCGGCAGTGGGGTTCCAAAGCTGTCAGCCAACCAAGGCAGAACCTTGCGCCTGACGGTCGGTCACCACCCGTCAACAGGTTTCCGCCAGCGAGGTACGGAGTACCGCCTCCATGTCCGCCCCCACCGCAAATGCCCCTCCACACTGAACCACCGACGGTGAGACAAAACCACATCATCACTTAAAGGCACATCCTCCTCACCAACCGCCCATACCCCCCCCCAAATCCCATCTCCCACCAGCACAACCACCACCATGGCCGCCGACGAAGAACACGAGGCAAGAGCCAACAACCCCCCCAATCCAGAACCAACCATCTGACAAAAAAGCCAGGGCGCCTCGATCAAAGAACTCCTCATCGAGGCCTGCCGCCGCAACAACACCGACCTCCTCGAAGAAGTCCTCCACGACAAGCCCGACGCCGAAATCACCGCCCTCCTCAACAACACCACCACCGTAATGGGCAACCACCTCTACCACGAGGCCGCATCCCACGGCAACTGTGCGCCTCCCCTCCGCCCCCTCCAACCTCAACCCGCAAAACGCAGACTAACACCGCTTGCGGGGGGAAACAGACGAAATCATCGACCTCCTCCTCGACCAACCCTCGTTCGAATGCGACCCGATCAACCGCCTCGAGGGCGACACGCCGTTGCACACCGCCATCCGCTGGCTCAACGCCGAGCCCCCCGCCCAGCGCGCCTTTGGCAAGGCCCTCGTCGAGATGATGCTCGAGGCCGGCTCGAACCCGCGCGTCAAGAACAAGGGCGGCCTGACGGCCCTGCAGCTCGTCGACCCCCGCAACGCCGAGCTGCGCCAGCTCATCCAGCAGCACGAGTATACAAACCAGAACGCGGGCGACTTTATTACCGTCGACGCCGGCGCCGCCAACAACAAGGGGAGTAGTAATCATGCGGCGGCTGTGGGGCAGCAGAGCGATGGTGGTGGTGATGATGATGATGCCGAGTTTAGCGGTAGTGACGACGAGGAAAGGGCCGAGTGGGAGCGGAGGAGAAGGGAAAGGCGGAAATGATGGCATCGAAAACGGTCTGTCGGTTTTGTGGTCATGTCTAGATTCTACTTTGATTGGCGACGTTGCTCTTTTTTTTTTTTTCGAGCCTGGGACGTACAGCATGTCATGAATATACGGGTGTTTACTATTAGCAATCACGAATTAAGCGCTAGATCAGCTCACTGGCAGCAAGTAGACGGGTTACTACTAAAAGCACAGCATTTACTACTAGGCCTAATCGTGTAAAGTGAAACAGTAGGGTATATGGTTCTAGGATCTGATCCATCTTGCAATTCATTGTTCCTTCTTGTGCCTCGCAATTCATTCCACAACAGTTCTACCCAGGTGGTGGAGCGCAATGGCTACAATTGACAAAAACAACACAACCCAGCATCTACTCATACCATCATCAGAAAAGCAATGAGTGAAGCAAGCAAAGAAACAGTCAGTCCGTTCGATGGTATCAGCCCGCCAGCTGCTCCCTTGTCAGCTTCGATATAGGTGACGTTCCGAAGCATCCTTATAGACCGTCTTGACAGGCTGCCGCCACTTGCCAACTCAGACAACTCTTTGCCCAACTGCCGTAAAATATTAGTCGATCGACCAGACGGACAAATGACCACCTCCCAGCCACCTCCCTTTGGAACGATAAATGTCGACTTTTGGTCGTCAAAGGCAAAGCTGTATGCGTCGGGACACACCGCCTTGACTGCTTTACTGTAGCTCGATGGCTTGCAAATATTGGGGTCGTGATACCTTCCGACACAGCAATCTTTATCCGAGCCACTTGCCGCACAGGCACTGTTGCAAGGTGAAAATGCTGGCCGTTGGATGTTGTCGTCGGGATACGGGTATACGCCGTCTCCAGGCTTAGTGGGAGGAAAGGCAAGATTGGGCCACGGACACCAGCTTTCAACGCTTTGATTCGTTTCATCTGGTTCCCACGGGACCGGGAATGTAGAGTTGGTGTAAGCTGTGCCTGTCTTGGCCTGGCTGAAGAGCCACCCCGCCGTGGCAATGCACGCGCAGTTTGTCAGATTTGGAGGGATATATGTTGTATTCTTGGCTGGTATGTAGTTGATTCCCATGGGGAGGTTGTAGCCATCAACTAAAGATATGTCGTAAAAGGTTTGCATCCCAGTCACTCCTCCGGCCAGGTTGAACTCTGCAAGTGTCGCAGGAGTTGCTCCCTGGAGGCAATGTTAACGTCGACACAGAACAGAACCATGAGCGAATACGGATGAAGCAAACTTACGCTAAACTCGCAATCAAGCTTAGAAAAGCAGTCCCCTGTCTTGCAAGCACACGATTCACCATTGACTGTACAATTCGTCCTCCCCCAAACTCGGCCCTGCCAATCTGGCGCAACCCATAACGTTTTATTCTTTCCAGGCGCCAATTCGAACCCTCCAGTTCCGGGCCCAGTACCAGATTGGGTGGCAATGCCAGGCCAGATTGTCGTTTCGCATTTGTTGGTCACAACAAGTGGTACTTTGCCCTCCCAATCTTCTGGAGGACCTCTCTTTGCGGGGATGCTCCGTTTTGTATGGCGAAAGAATTCTGCCTGCCAGTGTCCCTTTCTGTGAGATGCTATTCCCAAGTGGGCCGCTGGAACGAGGGATCCAAAGGTAACGAAGATGAGCAGCAGTCGATTCATGGAAGATTGATATCGAGGTGTTGCAGCTGTAAAATGTGGTGACGTGGCCATTGCTCGTTTTTCTGTTCGCGGAGGGAGCCTCGTCTTGGTGTTATCAACCTCCTGCTGTTGTTGTCGTTGGAGCAAGAAGATGGCAGGGGTGACGGTTGTGAGATCCAAGACAAAAGTACTCCCCGTTACTGAAAAATAGAAGTTCTCATCTCTTTTCGTCCTTTAAACGTTGGATGTTGTTAGAAATATATGTTTGAATGGCGATTTGAGAAGCTGAAACTGGCATGTAACGTCAGAAGCCGCCGTTGAGAGTTGGCGGAGCGATTCTTCCCCAAACGCCAAATAATTCATGCGCCGGCCCTAACAAACCAGGTTCACCCCTGCCCAGATATCCTGAGCCACCAGGTCCCAAAAAGAAGCAATGCAAGATTGGATGTGTTAATATAAAATAGAGCACGTGTGCGATGAGCTGAAGACTATGCTGCGTAGTTCAGAGGTACGGAGGAAGCGCCAGTATGGAGGAAGAAGACAATAAATATAAACTGGACCAGGAGGTGCGGAGTGGAACAACGAATATAACAATACAAACGTAATTCTGGAAATGGGAACGCATAAAAATATCACAGGTGGCCTGTCCAGCAGGATTGGCGGAGGTTAAGCTTCTTGAGAAATGAGAGGGTGAAGAAGCGCTGTTCGTTTGCCTCGCTGGCCAAGAACGGGTCCATGGCCATCTCAGTGTAAAGGTATGACGCAGGAAGGACTGGCTGTCATGTTCCCGTTTCTCAAGTTGGCAGCCGCGACAGGGACCAGGAACATGCTGCCCCACCTTCACCCCGCGAGGTTCAATGTTGCATCCGTCCATTGATCCAATCCATCAACGAACCATCCCACCAACGGGACCCCGCCAACCCGTCACTTCCTCACACTCTTGTCTCACATCTCGATGACGACTTCAGGCCCAAGCCAACCAGGTCCAAAGCCCCTCCAGTTGCCATGTACGGAGTAGGACCAACTCTCTGGCTCACTTACTCCGTACTGCACAAGCAATGTCGGCTTGTAACACAAACATCGATTATCTAAAATATTCCTATATTCCTAAGACACGTTCCGTCTTCTGCTACTACGCATGATAAAATATCAGGCTCCAAATATGCTTTGTGCAAAAAAAAAAAAAAAATTATAAAAAAACAAAAACCTAGGCTTTTCCAGCTTTTTTTAAGATTTCGTCCGCAGTTCTTTGTAATCCAACTGACAATTGATACTATCGTCGAAGAACCAAACCGTCCGTAGCCTCGGCCGCGATATCCGCCTCATCAATTCGTAGTTCCCTAATCGTCACCCTCCATTAGCGCGCTGAATATTCTCCTAGGTATCATTTAATGTCAACTCCGGATGTAAGGTATCCAAGCTCTACTGATAAAACGGATCAAACGACATCACCGTGTTGCCCTCTGCATTTTTTTTTGTGTCAGCTTCCGTTTATCTAAAGCGAGCCCTGCATCGGCCCATGACTTCGCCCTGGCAGACCAATTCGGCGCTGAATTCCGAACCATCAAGCGTCAGGTAGATATCAAAGTAAACACGATAAAATGTTCCTTGGGGCGTGTCCATGCGCTCAAAGTCCTTTTCAAGGTTCTTGCGCGACAGATCGGAAGTGAGAGTGACGACTTCCTTGATACCTGCTGAATGGTTAGTGAACGCCGCCCTTGAATCTTCATTATCATAGCATTGAAATGGCCGCAACTTACGAGGATCCTTGGTGTATTCAGGGCATACGTCGTCATCGCAGGCATACAACACGTCTTCGTACATGAGGGTCGCGCCAGGCGCAACTTGTCGGAAGAATGAAACCTTGACTGGTTCGCCGTTCTTGACCTTTTGTCCCTTCTGCACGAAAATTTGTCGGGTGAACTTGCATCTGTCCTTTCCATCCAAAGATGGGACACGGTAGGCCTCGGGGTGGTATCCCTCTTTGAATGGCTGTAGCGTAGCCATGAGATAGTGGCGACGAGCAACACGATGTGTAATGATGCGTTCGGTAATACCAGCGGTGACTGCACCCTTGACGATGGCCGCCACCGAGTCCATGGGCCTCACCACCTTGGACTGGAACTGCGGTGGAACATGCAGCTTGATCTGCTGAAAGAGGTACTCGGACGCACCGAAACCACCAAC